TTTTATTTTTTTCTACTATTGTTGCAAAGTTAAAGTATTTTTTTGGATTATTCTTTTTGGTCATGTTTTTCTGTCAATTATTAGACAACTTTATAAGCTATTGCTTAGAGTAATATTATTTATTTTTGCGAGTGTGTTATAAAATTTGTTTATCTCATTTTAATTGATGTTAATTATTTAATAGGCTCAAATAAAGAAGATTATGCAAACTGAATGGTTGTCCCTCTACATGTTTGATTTAAGTACTTCTGATTTTTTCTCCATAAATTTCATTCATGGTAAATAAAAATAAGTAATAACTAATTTATGTTTTGTCCAAATTAGTGTTGTATTCATGTATTCAACTTGATTCATCAATAGTTGAATGATAACTCAATTGTGTACATTAAAAAAGATGTGGTTAAAAATTATTAATAACGAATCTATTGTGCAATATTATCAAGTAAAATTGTAAAACTTTTAATAATTATGGTTGGGTATTGAAGTTTTTTATTACTATTATCATTATAGTTATTTTTTTTTATTAATTTAATATATTTAACCTAAGTCTTCCACTAGATAAAATTTTTACTTCACTATTGATAATACTTACTTATTTTCCTCATTTTATCTTTTAATTTGAAATAATTTGTATTTATAACTAAAGTGTTAAAATTTTTCATATTTTTTATTTTTTTCTCTCACTTTTTTTCTATCAAACACACTCAAAATTTATTTTTTTTAATTTTTTCTCTTCCCCTATCCATTTTTTCTTTTGTTTTTTTTTTTTTCGGTGTATCAAAGCCACCCTAATCATAAATTTTTAAAAATTTTTTTAAAAATAGCTAAAAAAACATAATTGAGGAGTTGGCAAAAAAAAAAAAAAACACAAGTAAAATTTTAAAAAAAGAAAAATAATACTATAAATAAAAATAGAATGGAGTTGGACCAAAAAATAACAGTCCGATGAGAGAGTTTGCAGTCACTAAATTAATGTTTTAGCATTTTTATTTTTTATTTTTTATATTTTCTTTGTTCGTGTCTCTCTAGGAATTTTGTAATTTCTTTCAACGTATTTTAACAAAACATGAAGAAGAAACTCCACACTCGTTTCTTAACCGTAAGTTGTTTTTATTTAATTTAGGTTTTCCCATTTAATTGTTTTTGTTTAATTTAGGTTTTCCTATTAGAATTGGTTTGAATAACATTTTTTATTTTTATTTTTTCTACTCTTGTTGCAAAGTTAAAGTATTTTTTTGGATTATTCTTTTTAGTCATGTTTTTCTGTCAATTATTACACAACTTTATAAGCTATTGCTTGGAGTAATATTATTTATTTTTGCAAGTGTGTTATAAAATTTGCTTATCTCGTTTTAATTGATGTTAATTATTTAATAGGCTCAAATAAAAAAGATTATGCAAACTGAACAGTTGTCCTTCTGCATGTTTGATTTAAGTACTTCTGATTTTTTTTCTCATAAATTTCATTCATGGTAAATAAAAATAAGTAATGACTAATTTATGTTTTGTCCAAATTAGTGTTGTATTCATGCATTCAGCTTGATTCATCAATAGTTGAATGATAACTCAATTGTGTACATTAAAAAGGATGTGTTTAAAAATTATTAATAACGAATCTATTGTGCAATATTATCAAGTAAAATTGTAAAATTTTTAATAATTATGATTGGGTATAGAAGTTTTTTATTACTATTATCATTATGGTTATTATTGTTTTTTTAATAATTTAATATATTTAACTTAAGTCTTCCACTAGATAAAATTTTTTACTTCACCATTGATAATACTTACTTATTTCCCTCATCTTATCTTTTAATTTGAAATCATTTGTATTTATAACTAAATTGTTAAAATTTATCATATTTTTATTTTTTTCTCTCAATTTTTTTCTATCAAACACACTCAAAATTTATTTTTTTAATTTTTTCTCTTCCGCCTATCCCACTTTCTTTTCTTTTTTTCTTTTTTTTCGATGGTATCAAAGCACCTTAATCATAAATTTATAGAAAATTTTGGTAAAAAATAGCTAAAAAAACATTAACTGAGGAGTTGGCAAAAAAACACAAGTAAAATTTTTAAAAAAGAAAAATAATTACTATAAATAAAAACAAGATGGAGTTGGACCAAACAAATAAAACCAATTTGAGGAGAGAGGTTGCGTCACTAAATTAAAGTTAAGCTTTTTATTTTTTAAATTTTATCCTGTGTTCATTCTCTTTCTAAGGAATTTGTTAATTTCTCAATGTAGTTTAAACAAAACATGAAGAAGAAACTCTACATCGTTTACTAAAAGTTGTCTTTCATTAATTTAGGTTTTCTATTAAATGTTTTATTTAATTTAGACTTTCACTATTAAATTTGTTGGAATAACATTCATTTATTATTGTTCTGGCAAAGTTAAAGTTGTTTTAGAATTCTTTTGCCATTTTTTTTTACCATTATTACACAACTTATAAGCTATTGCTTGAGTAATATTATTTAAAAAATGCAAGGTGTTATGAATTTTGTTTATCTGTTTAATATGTTAATTGATTTAAAAACAAGAATAAAGAAGATTATGCAATTGAAGTTTGTCCTTTCATGTTTGATTTAAGTGTTCTATTTCCTCATAAATTTCATTCGTCGTAAATAAAATAAGTAATAACTAATTATGTTTGTCAAGATTAGTTTGTATGTCATGCATTTCCAGTTGATTCATCAATAGTTGAATGATAACTCAGTTGTGTAAATTAAAAAGATGTGTTTAAAAATTATTAATAACGAATTTATTGTGCAATATTATCACATAAAATTATAAAACTTTTAACAATTATGATTGGATATAGAAGTTTTTTATTACTATTATCATTATAGTTATTATTGTTTTTTTAATAATTTAATATATTTGACCTAAGTCTTTCACTAGATAAAATTTTTTACTTCACCACTGATAATACTTACTTATTTCTCTTATCTTATCTTTTAATTTGAAATAATTTGTATTTATAACTAAAATGTTAAAATTTATCATATTTTTTATTTTTTTCTCTCACTTTTTTTTCTATTAAGCATACTCAAAATTTATTTTTTAATTTTTTCTCTTCCCCTATCCATTCTTTTTTTTTTTTTCAATGTATCAAAGTCACCCTAATCATAAATTTCTAAAATATTTTTAAAAAATAACTAAAAAAACATAACTGAGGAGTTGGCAAAAAAAACACAAGTAAAATTTTTTTTTTTAAAAAAAAAGTAATACTATAAATAAAAATAAAGTAGAGTTGGACCAGAAAAAAACAATCCGAGGAGAGAGTTTGCAGTCACTAAATTAAAGTTTTAGCAATTTTATTTTTTATTTTATCTTTATTCATGTCTCTCTAGGAATTTTGTAATTTCTTTCAACATATTTTAACAAAACATGAAGAAGAAACTCCACACTCGTTTCCCAACCGTAAGTTGTTTTTATTTAGGTTTTCCCATTAAGTTGTTTTTGTTTAATTTAGGTTTTCCTATTAGAATTTGTTTGAATAACATTTTTTATTTTTATATTTTTTCTATTTTTGTTGCAAAGTTAAAGTATATTTTTGGATTATTCTTTTTGGTTATGTTTTTCTAGTCAATTATTACACAACTTTATAAGCTATTGCTTGGAGTAATATTATTTATTTTTGCAAGTGTGTTATGAAATTTGTTTATCTCATTTTAATTGATGTTAATTATTTAAAAGGCTCGAATAAAGAAGATTATGCAAACTGAATGGTTGTCTCTCTTTATGTTTGATTTAAGTACTTCTAATTTTTTTTCTCATAAACTTCATTCATGGTAAATAAAAATAAGTAATAACTAATTTATGTTTTGTCTAAATTAGTGTTGTATTCATGCATTTAGTTCGGTGGGTGTAAAATGGAAAGTCATAACATTAAAAATTATGACCTCAAAGTGTGATATAATATCATTTTCCTTTAGATTTCTTTTGCCTTCACCATTTATAGTATGCAACAATTTGAATGAAATAGTCATAAAATACAATTATGAAATTTTGTTTAACTTCACTTTGCAAAACCCCTAAACACTTCCTAAGGGACGGCAAAATCATATTTCTTATTTTAAGGTTATATATAGAAAAGATTGTAACTACTGAATACCATTTCTTAAAGATGATTGCAAAAATTATTAATTTAATTTGAATGGATTAAATTAGTCTTATTTTAAGGTTTAAGGTCTAATCTTTGTAAGTTTTCATGCTATATAAAGTTCTTTTATAGATCTAATTGAGGTATTCCTGCTTCTATAAATAGTGTTCAAGAACAAGCTGCTCTTTCTATTCCTTTCTCTCGCAAGCTAAGATGCCAGCCCCTTTGGGTTTTATATTGTATGTCTATTGCTATGTTATCAAGTATATATAGGGAATCCAACTTCCAACAATGCAAGAAGAGGGAGAGTTTCCAGGCTGAAACCCAAGAGATGTTTGAGATGCAGAGGATGGTAGGGCGATCATGCAAGAGGTACAGCAGACATAAAGCAACTCATTCAACAGATGCGAATTTTGCATAAAGTCTGTCAAAGCCTCAACGAAGGTACTGGAAAATTGACTTCAGACATACAGATAGAGAGTCATATGGTGATTAACTTTCCAGAGATGGGAATTCTCCACAATGGAGATTAACTTCAGACTGTGTAATCATAAAATACATAATTGATCACTCAATTATGGTTGTATTTTTAAAATGGTCACCCAACTATTAAAGTTTGATTTATTATTTTTTTTATCACTTCTCGTTGGTCTCAAACAACGAACTAATGTGATAATATGAAGTTAGTTGTCAAGTAACATGTGACATTGCTGATGTAATATTATAAATTTAAAAAATAATTTTTTTAAAGTCACAATACTACGTGGCACTTAAAGGCATTTCCATGTCAATACATGACTAAGAATAACAAAAAAACTTACTTAAAGTTTAGTGACTAAATAAAAAAAAAAATTTTACAGTTAAATGACTATTTCAAAAATATGACTATAGTTGAGTGAACAATGGTATACTTTACCTTAAATTTAATTTAATTTAAAGAGATTACAGAAGAAATAATTAAGAGGCAAAAGATACACAATATAAGTAAAATTATGTACTTACATCAATTTACATTGTTCTAGATAAGCTTAAAACCACTGAACTTAGTACAGGTTAAATCCGAATCAACATAAGACATAGTTACATTTATTTAAAGGCGGAAGACGCCTCTGATATCCTAATATCCTTTCACCTCCAATCTCCAGTCACCTGAATTAAAATGAAGAGAATAGTATTACTAATAAAACTAGACCGCCAGGGCTATATGATGAACAAAAAGAGTATACCAGATTTCCCTAGCATAGAAGGAAAATGCAGAAACAAGAAGTGATGTAACTTTGTATAAAAGAAAAAGGTAACATAACTGCTAGTGGCTATAGTCTTGATAGTCAAAGCTATCAAAAATTTCCCCAAAGAGACAGCCTGATAATTAGATTATAGGATTGTCAACTTGGAGCTCTTTGGTTCAAATCTTGTGGTAATAGGGTTTATGAGATTCAGATGAAGAAGAGCTACTCCCTTCTGTAAGAGGGCCAGAGGCTATTAAAGTTCAGATAATTGTAATACTAGAATAATTCGGAACCCTAAATGGTCCACCTTTATGGGAACAGCACCAGATTGTAGTAGAATTTATAGACAAGATTATTTATTTCCTTTCTAAATAGTCTAGTTTAGTTTCAGAATAACACTATGAAAATCATGTATTAGGCACAGGATTATGGAAAGATTATTCAGTTTTCATATTCCTAAGCCACACAAAACAGAGCAAACCAGATAATAAATTATCCATGCCACTACCATATCTCAGTTTCACAAATTTGCTTAAAATCGCTTCAGGCTGTCTACTGTTCTAGCTTATAATAAGCCAAGATTGACCATTCCTTTTATTCATCCGAACATGTATAATTCTATTTGTTAGTATCATGAACCCTCCCTTATTTTCCATCCTTCTTGGTTCCCATTTATTTTCCAACTGTTTTATGGTTATTCTCAGTTTCTCACCAAACCACACTTAACCATATTCATCATTCCTTCAATCTCCTGGTGTTATCATATCATCCTTCCACACCTTACATAGTTTAGTCTTTAGGCACTATTTGAACCCCTAAGCCTCAATTGCTCCCCTCCAAACCTCATCCTATCTTATCCATTATTATTGCCGACAAATAGCCATCCCTATCAGATAAAAATAGAATAATCGGATAGACTCTTTGTTTAACAAGAACAACCATTGAAAAAGTTGTCCCAAAAAACCAAAATTCAATCTCCTTTCCTTAGTTTTATATCTGAGAAATGTAGTTGGTCCACAAGTAAATACCAAATGAAGCCACAGCCTGCACAAGCGACCATACACAGAGGAAGAACAAGAGATGTTAAATCAAATAAATTCCAATAAAAACATAGTTGCTTTCCAACTATCGTTACTTTGTGGTTTGATGAAACATATATGACTAGATTGTATTATTGGATTCATATCATCTTCGACTATTTTTATTGCAATTCTACAATTATTCAATCTTATACTTAATTATATCAGGATCCATCAAGGTCCAAGTGAACCCACATCCACGAACAAACAAGATTTCATGATCATATACAATTTTAATGGTCCAAAAAAGATAACCGATAGTGATATTTTACAGTAAGAAATGAAAACAAAATTAAGTATGAGGTTGGCCTTTACCCTAAGCGGAGGCAGTACAAGCGGCAGGGGCATCGCCAATAAGCTTGAACTCCTGCAATTCCTTGAAATTCATCCAAGGCTTCTCCCACACCTTGGCTTCATAAATTTTCATCTTGTCACCATCCATTGCCTCCAATGTTATGTAGTAAACAGTCCCAGAAACCACCTGCTGCTTTACGTTCACCACTTTCTTAAACTCCAGCATCGCATTCTAAATTCATAACCCCCCCCCCCCCCAAAAAAAAAAAAGAAAAAAACCCAGTAATTGACAATACTTTGAATAGAATTAAGATGTAAAATCGTAATAGAAAAAAGAAAAAAAGGTACCTCCTTCTTGTTATGTTCATCAACGGCAAAACGAGCGAGGTTTTCCATCTCCAGATTATTGGCGTTTCCTTCAACCTGGCTAACTCCACCCAACGATGCCATTTCTCTCTCTATTTTTTTTTTCGGATGTATGATTCTTTCTATCCGTAATTCAGGTGTCCAAGTGTTTGTGTTTTTTTTATAGAGAAACAAAGGTAAGAAATGACAAAAAGATGGGTTTTTAGAATTCTTAAAATTCATAATTGGCGTAATCAAGTACTCGCATTTCGAGAGTCAAAATCTAGATTGCATGTTATCCGTGAGCCGTGGCACATGGATTTCCCAAGCTTCAGGATAAGAGTCGTGATGGAATTTTGATCGTTGACAATAGCTGCCAAAAAACACGTGGAGATTTGGCAGATGAGATTTGAGTTACGTCTGTTTGAACGTGGGCCAATTAGGTTTAGGACAATTGGATTACGTCAGTTGCTATTTGAATTTATTTCGAGAGGGATATTTTAGATATAAATCAATTAAGTTCAAATAATTTCCTTAAAGATTGTTAATATTTTTAGATTAACACAAATTAGATTGATTTTAAATCGTTTTATAATAATTTCTATTATTATATTACTATTTTTAATTAAATTGAAGTTAAAAATAATAAATATTCATTTAGAGAGTAATCCTTTTATATTATTATAAAATTAATTTCGTTTTGCAATATTTTATATATTTTATATTTTATTAATATAACCATTGAATTTTATATTTTATTCACATAAATCATACATATAAACTTTCAAATAAATAAAAAAATTTAATTATTTATTCAATAATAAAAATTTAACCATTAATACATATTAAAAAATTACTTTCAACTTAAAATTTTATGTGTACGACCAGCATGAGTAAATTGTTAAATTTGACAATTGATTTCTAAAATTATTAATCATATACTCCTATTAAGTTATAAAAAAAATAAAAATATATAATTTAATTTTTTTTTCTTACGTGTATTTATTTATATCCGCTCGCAATGACGAAAAAAGAAGGGTGGCAGTTGAGAGTGAAGATTAAAGATAAGAAAGTTGCTAGTGGATACAATGGAGCCGTTGTTACAACTAGTCTCCCATAGGATGTCATTAAATCTCAATGATAGTGATAAGAATACACAGATTAAGCTGATACTTTTACGAGAGACCCTTTTTTAGAAAGAAATAAATTCCAATTGGATGGCTAAAAGAGGATTCGAATTCGAAGCTATCTTGAACGAGAAAAACAATACATGAATTTATCACAAAGTCAAATGTTTTGTGCTGTTTTGATAAGATATTTGATTCTAATTGGATGATACGTGTAAATAGTTAAAATATTGAAAAAAAATTAATTTTATTATTTTATTTAAATAAATTTTGATATTTTTACTACATCTAAATAAATTATAATATTTTAATTTGTATTTAAACAATTTTTTATTTTAAACTAATGAATACAATTTTTTTCTCTTTCTCTTTAATAATGTAAAATTTTACTTTTTTTTATATAAGTAAAAGTTTTACCTCAAGTATTTATAATCGTATATGCATTATGTATTATGTTAAGTGTTTTTTATATACAAATTAAAGGTTAAAATTTTATTTAAGTATAAATTAAAAATTAAGAGCCTATTTGAATGTAAATTAAAAATTGAAGGCTTATTTAATAATAATAAAAGTATACAAATTTATCTAAATGATGAAATTCAATGGGTTTTTTTTTATTACTTTTAACCAACATTGATTTAGCATGCATAAAAGCGTTCCAAATGCCTTTACTAAGACAATCATCCAATGATTAATGTGAATGAGTTCCAATTTCTTAGTCTAATCTCAAACATGGATAATCAGATATCTCATTAATTTTTCTTTCCCAGGAATATTAAATCTTAATGAGCACAATGAAGTCTTAAGGTCAAAAGTAAAACATTTATTAAAAAATTACCATGTTAAAGATGTTGAAAACATCAGGCAAATTGAAAATGTCTTTTGTTTTTCTTTTTTTTTTTTTTTGTATCTTATGGAAATTGAAATGTCTACACATAAGATAAGTACAAATACCATTCAAAACATCAACCATTCGAAACATAGTTTCACAAATTTTGCTACCGAATAAGGTTATCATTAAAAAATCAACCTTCCCATTCTATGAAATTGGAACAACAAAACGTAAGGATTTAGTGCAAGAAGAAGTCAAAGTAGAAAGTTCGAACAAATCAATTAAGTTTTAAATTTTTTATAATCTTTTATTCTAGTTGGTTGTGTCGTAATTGGACTTGGAACCCAATGGCCGGTGGTTCGTTAGATATATGGATTATAGAAAAAATAAAACACAGAGCCAGGCCCAATGGCTTTAGTTTGATAAGCCCAACAGTTTAAAGCCGGCAACTCTTTCACTGGAGTAGCAACGTAAGGACGATATGGGGATTAAGGCAGGAAGCAAATTTGCAGTGTATTGAAATTTTTTGATGAGAAAAAATGGACGGAGTAGTTGTAAAGCTTCCTTCATTTCCATTTCTAAACCCTACTATTTCTTCTTCTTCTCCTTCTTCCCCAACTTTTCGGCTAGGCTTCCGCCGCTTCTCTGCTACGCTTTCCGCCGTTAAAGAAGGCTCCGTCTCATTAGGTCACTTAACCCGCCCCCACTTCCCCATCCTCCACCAGGTCCTCAAATTTCCCTTCTTTTCCTTTTTTTTTGTAATTTTTTAATTTCAACTTATTAAATTGTTATTAATTTGGGCAGGAAGTAAATGGGTCGAAACTTGTTTACTTAGACAATGCGGCAACCTCTCAAAAACCAACGGCTGTGTTAAAAGCTTTGCACAAATATTATGAAGCTTACAATTCAAATGTTCACAGAGGAATTCATTACTTGAGGTACTTCCTTTTAAGGCTAATTGATTGCTTATTAGTAACTTTCTAGGAAGCAAAGAGTAAAAGCATGATATATTTTTTTATTTGTTTTATTTTGGTTATAAATACAGTGCCAAGGCAACTGATGAGTACGAGCTGGCACGGAAGAAAGTGGCGGCTTTTATTAATGCATCAGATTCTGCTGAGATTGTTTTCACAAGAAATGCTACTGAGGCTATTAATTTAGTTGCTTATTCTTGGGGTTTGTCCAATTTAAAGCCTGGGGATGAGGTTATGTAATTGATTTTTTTTAATTATTTTCTTGTTTTTGTAGTGTAAGATAGTTATTAATTTTAATTGAATTATGATGTTATGATGATTTATGTTTGCAGATTGTACTTACTATTGCTGAACATCATAGTGCTATTGTTCCTTGGCAAATTGTGGCACAAAAGACGGGTGCTGTTTTGAAATTTGTAAGTTTAGGTGAGAATGAGGTTCCGGATGTAGAGAAGCTGAGAGAGATGATCTCTACAAGGACAGAACTTGTAGTTGTTCATCATGTTTCTAATGTGCTCGGTATGTTCCTCTTTATATCGACTATTTCTGTTTCACTTGTGAATACTTTAAAAGAAGACAAATTAATCTTGTTTTCAATTTAACATTAATTTATCTTTTCCTTTGTGAATTGAATTTAGGTAAATTTTATATTTGAGTCTAACCTTATTGGACATGCACTTGAAATTTCTCTATTACTCATTACTGCTTGAGCCCACTAAATCAGATCAAGTCAATATATTTTTTAGTTGAGAACTGTGGTCTTTGATTTATTGGGAATATCAGGTTATGGCGATGTTGCTATATATAGGTACTTCTGATCTTTATCTAATTATATTTTTATTGGCCAATATCCCCAAATAAACTACGTGATGCTGTCTTGCTACCCCTTCTGTGAAAAAATAAAAAGATTAGAATTAACAGAAAGAACCAGGTTATTGTAGAAAAATTTTATCACCACCTGATCATATCATGTTCTTCTAAAGTTATTGATGGATGATCTCCTTTTTATCAATATATTTAGTTTCCTAGACACGGGAATAAATATAGCATGATCATATTTATTCATCCAAACTTTCTTTCTCTTGTAGGCTCTGTTCTTCCTATTGAAGACATTGTGATTTGGGCTCATGAGGTTGGAGCAAAAGTGCTTGTAGATGCTTGTCAAAGTGTTCCCCACATGGTGGTTGATGTCCGAGGTCTTGATGCTGACTTTCTTGTTGCTTCTTCTCACAAGGTTAGTTTGTTGCCTTATGTATGATCTAAGCCATATATGGATCAGTTTATGAAGTTGAGGAATAAACATGCTTCAGATGTGTGGGCCTACAGGCATTGGATTCTTATTTGGTAAGAGCAATCTCTTGTCAGCCATGCCTCCATTCTTAGGTATGCTATTGCTTTCATTTTCTTTTTCAAAGTTTAATTCTTATGTGCAACAGTTCTGTGCATCAATAACTGTGGGAATTGAGTCATGGAAGTAGTTTGAAGCTGATGCTGATAATGGTTTTTCTCCTTTTAGGTGGTGGAGAAATGATCTCTGATGTATTTTTAGATCATTCAACATATGCAGAACCCCCATCCAGGTTAGTGATCTTATCTTTATCTTAAAATTATGATTTTATGGAGTTTGAGGATGAGAGGAACTTTAGCAGTTTTTACATTGTTTGACTTGTGTATGCATGATTAAGTTGGCTTCTTGAATAGCGGAATTTGAGTCCTGTAACCCTCCTTTTCTCAAAAGTAGAAAGAGAGACAGAAATACTGCAAATACAACTTCTTTTTTTTCTTTTACTTTTTAGTTTACTCTGCTACTTCATTGAGAGTCACTGAACATGTTGAAAAATGCTGGAAGATCAATATGGTCATGGATATACCTCTGCTGTGTTTGTATGCTTATAATTACAAGGTCCGAGTTCATCTCTCTGTCAACTGCATGGAATTTTAATTTTTTTTCTCTACTTTCCACATTGTAATGGATCCTCTCTAGGTCTCCAGCTGGTAAGATCCCTTTATGGTGAGATAATTGGACGTGTAGCTTTAAAGAGATCAATGAATATGAGCATCCATATTATCAAGAGACTGACCTAAAGCAACATCTATATAATTGCTTAAGGTTGAAGAACTAAAACATGGGGTATTCAGGCTTTTGCTAAGCCATTGCCGTTTATCTTCAGCTAATGCAACAAAAATTGTTTTTTTTTTCTTAAATTCCAGTAATTGGAGTAATTTTTCCAAACTGAAAGAAAGAAAACAACAAAGTACAGTCAACACTCTCAACAGGAAAAAAAAAAAAACCAGAAAAGCAGAAACAACTATACAGGCTTGTGCATGGCTCCTGTTAACTGATGTTATAGTAGTTAGCCTCAATGAGAATTTTACTGCACATCTATTGCCACTTGTCAAAGAAAGATCTGCAAAATGGAGTTCACAATGTTTCTGGATAATAGCTATAGTTCTCCGTGGAATTGCGGAGTAATCAGCCTTTACTTGTTGAATGCTCCATTTGTGTGCTGCTACTGCAAAAGCACTTTTCAAAACCTTGCTAATGGTACCTTTGCTATTATATAGTGTATTGCTGCAAGATCAGATCATTTTACCATCTACCAACTGTACAATTTCCTGGCAATGGAGCTGCTCTGAATAATATTTATTCAAATCCACCTGGGATAGCTACATTTTAAATATTGTTATAATGTTCTTAGCTCTTGTTGAACATAACTCGCTATGTTGCTGCTGAATGCCCCTTTCTACATGATATGAAAGGTTCCCAAATTAAGCAAGTAGAAGATGAAACTTTGCCTGGGCATCATGTGCTTATGTGAATCTTTACCAAGGAACACCAACCTGACTTATTTAGTCACCCTGTTAGCACTTCTGATGGTTAAGTTACTCTTTATCTTTAGGAGTCCATCGAATTTAATTAATACTAAAATTATTAAAAAGTGTGATTAGGAATTTTAAGTGTTTGGTATAGCTGTAAGTAATTGAAATATCTAAAAAGATATGTATAAAATAATAAAATATTAGAAATATAGGAATAATAAAGTGCTTTTTTTTTTCAAATGCACTTTTTCATCACAAAAGCATCTCTTAAGGAGCTTTTTGGTTTGGGTTGGAAAACCAAGCTCATAAACTAAAAAGCTGATTTTTTTTTGTTATTTTTTAGTGTTGCGATTGGGTCAAAAGCAATTTTTGAATGCAAAAGTTACTTTCTACAGCAATGCTAGATGAGACCTTTGTCTAATTGCAATTAATTGTGGTCCTTGGCTACATAGAATTTAGTATGCTGAAAGAAACTCCCCCATTTTTGTTTTAAAGCCACATGTCATTCAAGTAATTGTTGGTCTAAATATTCAATATTTTGCTTCTCATGATTTATTCTGTTCGTGCTCTTCAACTGGATAAGATTTGAGGCTGGAACACCTGCAATTGGGGAAGCAATTGGATTAGGGGCTGCAATTGAGTACTTGTCCGGGATTGGCATGCAGAAGATTCATGACTATGAGGTGAGTTACAATTTTTACTGTTTGCACTTTCTGTTCATCATAAAGTAAAAACCATTCATTTACATTTTACGCATTAGGCTCCTGATTTAATGCACCATGTACAGATAAAATGCCAACCATATTTGTTGGCTTTATAATTAAAAAGAAAAAACTTGGTATAAATTATTGGTTATAAAGACTTAAGAAAGCAATTATTAAATTATGCTATGGTTATTGATCTATCCTTAGATTTTTTGTTGAGTACTTTTATGGTTTGGAATGTATTATATCATGCTTCCCATTAGACTTTCTTCTTGCTTTATATTGATTCCAAGGCAGTTTAAAATTGTGGAGAAATTGTTATTTTATGGGATTCAATTGCCATGGTGCATTGAATGATTGGACAGTAACTTTATTTATTTTTGGGAGGGAAGGGGCTCGATGGATTTAGAAGCCACTTTCTTATAAGTTGTAATTTTTTTATTCTTATGATGCAATTTTGATTTTGTAGATGGAGCTGGCTAATTATTTATATGAAAAACTCTGTTCTGTTCCGAATATTCGGATCTATGGTCCAAAGCCTTCAGATAGCATTCACCGTGCTGCTCTCTGTTCTTTCAATGTTGAGAATATTCATCCTACGGACCTTGCAACTTTTCTAGACCAACAGGTAGTATAATAAATAAGGAATAACAGTGTAATACTGTTTAGTTTTTTGCTCTTATCTATTTTCTTAAAGCTTGGTTTGGCATTGTGGTTAGTTTGGATTACTGTCCTTGAAAATTATGATTTGTGAAACTGTGATGGAAAACCACTTAAATGACTCAAACCCCAGTTTGAGTTAGAACCCACTGAAGTCAGCATTGCAGTTGTGGCTCAAACCAACCTTTGGGGATGCAAATTCAGTAACTGGCTATAGAGTAGATGTGTTGCAAGGGTTTTTATGTTGAATGGCAACTTATTTTGTTTAATCTCAGCATGGAGTGGCTATCAGATCAGGTCACCATTGTGCCCAGCCTCTTCATCGCCATCTAGGAGTGAGTGCAAGTGCACGTGCGAGCCTTTACTTCTACAATACCGAGGAAGATGTTGATGACTTCATCCGTTCGCTCAATGATACAGTCAGCTTCTTTAATTCTTTCAAGTAGTACTTTTCTTGTTTTCCTCATAAGATCGTGTCAAACAATCCTGTATACTATATTAAACCTCATGATAAGGACCTTTTTCATTTTTTACACAATTATCGTGTATAAGTGTCTGGTCTATTTCGTGTTTGACAACTATTGCGTAACAAAATGGACCGACACATCCAGAATCAATACTAGAAATTCACTTCAGTCTTGTAGTCAGAGATGGAAAGGTTCAATGTATGAACTGGTTATTGTCCTTTGTTTTTACAAGTGTATGGTCTATGGGTCATGGGATTATAACCAGGAAAAAGGAATAATGGATATCCAAAGACAATAAGATGGCGAGTAAAACCCTTTTGCCGCTTACTTGTTGATAGGTTTGAACTTTCTGCTGGGGGAAAGTATTCAAAGTTTCAAAGCTGTAAAAGTGGGAAAGTCGCCTTTCCCCTTTGACGGTAAATTTGTACGTTACACTTTACAGCCATGAGCCCCAGTCTGGAAGGCTAAGTACACATACGCGTTTCCATCTTTCGTTGAGGCTAGCAATGAGATCATTAAAACTGACTTCTAAACTGGGGCATTGCCCTCATTTCCTATAGGATTGGTGATTTCTGGTTCAGTTAAATTATGAAAAAGATGTACTCATTTTTTGCGGTATTATCAATTGGGAAAACATTAATTAATACCCATGTCTGCAAAATGCTCTGCTGATAGTAATTTTTCTTTAACAAAGGAGATGGTAGCTTAAGATAAAAGAAGAGTTGGCAGGTGTAAAGATTTTTGTTTTATCGATATCATTTTTTATAAGTAATTATATGAATTAATTGAATTAAGCTCTGCATATAAAAATTAGTTAGCTGCAATTTGATTTCTAATTTTTTTCTCCTTAAACAATCACAGGTTGAAAGGATAAAAAGAAAAGGAAACTAAAGCAATATATCTCCAACAAATCAGAATTAGATGATTAAATTATACCAAAGCTAATCTGATACAAAAGAAAATTCAGTGTCTAAAACAGAAATTTGTGAAATTTCTCATTCTCAACACAAAAATGCAACAAGCGAAGAAAGAAAAATAAAGCTTTCTATTCTATAATTATTAGTATTCTCCCAGTGGCCCGTGATTTTTGGGGAGGCAATTAGCAACTCCGATCGAAACCAATGGGCTGGATGTCATTACTTTACTTCTCCGGAGCCAAACTGATAATTTGGGTATGTCCAACCTTCTTCCTCAAGTTGGTAGTCAACTTGACAGCATCAACTCCATCTCCAATCACCACCACTTTTTCTTTCTCTTCCCCTTCAAATCCAACAAAGCTGACACCTGTGTTTTGCAGTTACTTGATCTTAATTCTCATCAAGTTTTAACACAAAAACAAACAAATTAAAGAAAAGTAACTCCAAGAAATAGCTCACCCTCTTGTTTTGCAGCCACCTTGAGGGCCTCAGTCCTGCATTTTTGGCACTTCATAGCCACCTTCAACACCACCTTTTGCTGCATGCATTATGCAAAACAAACAAAAATTAAGTACTAATAATTTAATAAACCCAAACAATAGAATTTATAAATATTACTAACAAAATATTGTTAGTAATTTTATGCATGAAACGAAATATTACCTTCATTTTGTTCTTATTTTCCGACGCCGAAGAAAATGTTATAAAGATGCCAAACACTAGGAAGGATGAGCAAACATTACATGCAGGAATCTCATTTGTATAGTGATTATGAAAGCCAATTGACTTAGTGCTCAAGTTTCCTCTCATTTTTCCCCATTTTTGGTGATGCCCAACAAACAAGTAATGTGGGCTTCTAAGACACTGAATTAATTCTCAAAAAAAATGTTAGACAGGTTTTCATAAGAAAATTTATTAATTTCAAATCTAAATGTGTGTTTATATATGCCTATTTGATATATTGAAAAGGGAAAATGCATTTAATTAAATAAAGTCTTTTGATTTGCTAATTTAAATAGTAGCACTATGATTTTTGGGGGGTGGTTAAATATTGTGAAATTATTTTTTTTATTTATTTTTTTTATGGAGATAGGTTCAACACCTCCAACGGTTTTATCAAACATATGAATATTATCAAACAACGATTAAGACTAATAGGTTTCTGGTAGTTCTGATTACCTAACGTTTCTTAAAAAGTTGAGAATAAAAGGGCACAAGTGCCCCCCCTTCTTTAATGTGTTTTTTTCCCCCTTTTAGCAACATGACTATTATAAAGTTAAATTGATTTAATTTTTTATGTGGATTTGATTCGGTTTTATATCAAATTGTTTATTTATATTTTATTTTGTTGGTTGATTATTTAAGAATTTATTTTATATAAAAATTTACTTAATTATAATTTTAATTTTTTTGTACTTGTAATTTCATAAAAATAAATATTTAAATATTTTTTGTTAAATGATCAATTATATTTTCAAATTTACTTTGAGGATAACCCCTTTTTAGATGATTTTAAAGACTTATTGCCTTACATCAATTTGATATATTTAAAATTCTATTTTCGAAGTGTTTCCCATACAATTCGAATTCTCTAATTTGATAAGAAAAGAGAGTTTCTTTAGTTACCAATTGGATTAACGTGCTATTGACAAAATGAATATCATCAAATTGATGAGTTGAAAAAAAAAAGACATGAATGGAGAATGATTTTTGGAAGTTAATTTCCATAATTTTTTCTGTGTTTGGATATCAAAAAATGATCAAGTCTTCCAGAAGACAATTTCCCCGTCTCTCATCTCTTCCTTCTTTTTCGCCAAATCCTTTTTGGATTCTTCCCCTTTGAGCTCTCTAAGATCGTTCTACAAACGTTAACAAACCCGAAAGTTACCCAACTACGACGGCCACCACTGAAGCAACCGGCAACAACTTATCTCCTCCACACCCTCTTTCCTACAATCACCAAAATCCTTCTTTGATTGTAAGTTTCTCTTTACAGCCACAAGAATGCTCAAAAGCCTCCCATAAAAGACTTCTCCACAAGCTTTACTTTTGCAAATCAAACTAAAAACACTGACAGAAGTAAATCTGAAGAGAGATATTACATGATTTTGAATACCCATAAAAGATTTTTCCGCAAGCTTAAGTTGACCAACAAGATTTTGAAAAGCAATGAAATACCCACGGCTTTGTGCTCTCTTCTGGTGGGTTTTGATCAAGAAAAGTTGGAGTTTTGTGAAAAATTGATGATTGATTTTAACAGTGAGATAAAAGTTAGAGAGAGAGAAAAAGAAGATTGATTTTCATTTGAAATAAACTCAAGAAATTATTTTTCTCGAAAGCTATCCAAAAAATTGAATATGATTTTTTTTCTAAAAAATGTCTTTCAGAAAAAAAAAATTTTTTCCTAAATTTAATTCACTTCGCCTGTTGGTCTTTTATTCATCACCGATTAAATGATATGGTTTAATTACAATTAATAAGATTTTGATTTAATGATAAAAAATAGATCTTAAAATTTTGAGATTTTAAATTTAAATATTATTGTATAAGTTCCATTATTTAATTATATTTCAATTTATTAATTAATTATTAAATATTTATAATTTGATTATGATATAATAATTAATTTTTTAATTGATTATATAAATATAATATTTGATTATAATTATATCTTTAAAAAATTATTTAATTTTTGGGCCCATTAATTAATTTGGACTTTATGCTAATCTAGCTATCTAAGCCGTTTTCAAATCTTTAATTTTTTTTTTTATTTTTAATGATTTGAGTTTGTATTATTCCTTTTTCTTATTTTTAAAAATTTTCAGATAAGCATCAAATGTTAAATTACAAGCACGCAAGGAAATTAATATTTAGTTAATGATATATAATTATATAGTTTTATTTTTGGATTCAAATCTCCATTTTTTTTCTGATTAAAAAAGAAAAATCTTTCCTCCTAACGTCTTTGGACAAAATCTTCTTAGCTGCTCCGAGCATTAAAAAAATAATGTGGAAATTTGGACTGAAGCGCACAAACAAAGTGCAAGCCATGCTCAAAATCCTTGGTCACCCATACAACTTAGGAAGGGGACATAAAGCTTCAATCGTTTCTCTTCTTTCCTTTGCTTCCTAGCTCCATCTCTACTAGAGCGGTGGAGCCATCATGCGACCCAATGAGTTGCTTCTCGCTGGCTTTATTCAATTATCATCATTTATGGTTGAGACTGAGACGGGACGTAATTATTATAGAGATTTACATTTTTTTTTTTACTAAATTTGTTGTTATTGAAATTGAGAAACCGGAGAAGTATCAAATCCCTCATATTTTTTCTTACACTTTAAACTAAGAATTGTTTTGAATTTGCTGGTACTTAATTTAAAATTGCAATCAAGTATCTTTTGATAGGTCATTTACCAATGACAATTGGGTGAAAAAAATTTTGTGTTAAAACTTGAATGACCCATTTGTACATATTCAAACAATTCATATCAAGAAATGATGTCATATTTGAATCACTAGAAGCTGAATATGGCCCTGAGTAATAACTAAGTTGACGCATAAAATGACATTAGAATCAAAGTTTTAGTTGTTATTGACCAATTCAACTATTTTTGAAGGCAGGCAAATTTGTTATAATGTTTCTCTAACCATAATTATAAAAATACCTTTTTTACTACAATTGATTAAAATTATTATAATACTTATTGTAATGTATAAATCCACAAGCTTATTGTTAGATATAGATGTAAGGAGTTGCTACTATTTTTTTTTGTTTAATACAATTGATTACTAAACTGAATTTGTTTCATTTAAAAAAATATTTAAACTTAATTCGAATATCTTTAAAAGGTAAATTTTATTTTACAAAATTAGATTTTAGGTTTATGAGTGCTGTTACGTGTGAGAAAGATAATAGTACCCTTATAACACATATCTAAAGTATGGTACTAATTTGATTTCAAGTTATCAAAGTCTTAAAATATTTTTATAATTTTACAAAAATAATTTAATTATTGAAAATTAATCATAAAATTATTCTAATAGTTTGGTAATAATTTAAAATAATTTTTTTACCTTAAAAGTATTCATGAAAATTAGTTTCATACTCTGAAGAGAATTTATCGTCGAATTCATTAACATATTTTATTTAAAGATATAATTAATAAAATCCTCCAATAATTTAGTAAAATTTATTTTAATACATATCTCTCAATAATTTGATAAAATTTTATTATAAAATTATGTATGAAATTTATTTTAAGAAAATTTATTAAACTTTCTAATAATATGGCAAATTTTAATTCGATATTTAAATTCTCAAATAATTTGATAGGATTAATACAAAATAACTTATTTTACTTTTTTAATAAACATTATGGTATAAAATTCTTAATAGATTAGTAGAATTCATATTTTTTTAAAAATTTAAACTTATAAAAAAATTTTAATAATTTAATAGAACTCGTGAATTTATTTTTTAAAAAAGAAATTTTTTATTTTTGAGAAAATAATAATAATAAAAATAAAATGAATAATTAGAAAATTTTAAATTAAATAAAACAAAAATTTACCAAAGGTTTAGATGTAATTGAGCTCGGCTAGAATGCGGCTCAGCTGCAGAAATGGAACGTACAACTGTTGAAAGACTGGTCATGAACGGCTAGGGGCTTTGCTCGGCTCGCCCATACAACGGCTAAGGCTTGGCTCGGCTCGGCTCGGTTCGCCAACAACTGTTGGAAGACGGGTCATGAACCAAGTAACGCAACTGACTGGATCCGAGTATGAGAAAATGCACGAACCTTTAATGAATCTGCGACTCAAAACGATGCCCTTTACCACCAGTAAAAAGGGCTAAATTTTGCTTTTTTTTTTGTTTCAGAACTTTCTTACCTCTATTCTGTCTGCCCCATTTTTCTCTGTTTCTCTCTCTAGAAATACATCGAGAAATTCAAGTAAAATTCCAGAAACCAATCACATGCCAGACGCCGGTCACCGAAAACTTCGAACGTCCGTCGAAAAATTCAAACAATTTCCCAAAAACCCAGAATCCAAAAATCTCCAAAAATCCCAAAATAATTACCCAATCCCATAAATTCAACACCACTCTAAAAATCATCCCAGAAACCACGATCAAAACTTCAGAACCAAAAATTGCTTACTAAAATAACAATCCCAGAATTATAACCAAAAATCCAGAAAAACCTTCAACGCCTAAAACTGCTAAAGTCTACTTATGAATTTTTCTCTATTCCCTGTGTGTGTATCTGTGTGTTAGAATAAGATTTGTATAGAGCTTTTGATCAGAAATTTTAGGGATTTCTCATTAATTGGCATAGATCAAATCTGTTCATGGCATAATTTTCTTGCATTAAAAAAATTGCTTTTGATTTCGGTCAATACTTTTTGAGATTTAGTTTCCCTTTTTATTCAACCTGATTTCTGGGATTGAATCCCTCCACAGAATCAAAATTTTCGTGAATCCCTTTTTTGTTTGGTTTTTTGTTTAATTTTTATTAAAGCAAAATGCAGGAAAAACAAAAGAA